TAGCCATAACTTCAGGGGAACCCAAAGATAATGCATCAACTGTGAGGTAAAAATATAGGGGATCGGGTCTGCACCAGACAGAGAGGTAGGGAGTCCCTTGATGGCATCCTTTGTCGGTCCTCACCCTCTTGGGCACAGCCACGTCCACAGCCACTGCCTCCCGTGTGTGCTCCTCAATGATCAGGTACATGTAGTTGTCCTCAAGTACCGGGATGACTTTGACCTTCATGGTCACAGACCTCAGCCTGTCCTCACCTTCTCCAAAAGAGGCACCCCAGCCTAGTGAATCCCTCCTCCTGAGCTGCGCGAGGCAGGTCAGACACACACACACTGGGGGTACAAAAGAAGAGTTGCTCGGCTGCCCAGGAGCTTCTCAGAGGACCCACTTTAGCAAGACCCAAGACTCAGGGGCCGGCGGCCCTGCCCACCTCAGACCCCGCCCCTTGTCCCAGCTTCACCTTCCCCCAAAAGCTACACAGCATTGCGGCTCCCTTCTAGCTCCGCCTCCTAGTTCCGGTAGACCCCGCCTTCCTCCACAGACCCCGCCTCTCAGCTACAGTGAGACAGACCCCAAGGCCTGGGTCGACCTCATTCCCTGCTGTCCTTCTCACCCACACATGAGCCGCCAATCTAGCGTCCCTGCCAGAGCGTGGCCGCTGCCTACCACGCTCCCCTACTCCCCGCGGCGCGACCCTGAATGCAGCCGAGATCTGACGGGAGACGCAGGAATTGCGCGTGCGCAAAAGGGAATCCACGCACCGATAGGGCGCAGGGTAGTGTAGTGAGCATGCTCCATCTCAGCATCAGGCAAGGGCATCTCCTCAAGTTATCCTTCCTGGTGCCCAGGCTGAGCTAGCTCGCGAAGTTCACTGCCCCTGATTATGCCCCGTTTCTCTCAGACGGAGGGTGGTAGGGTGTGTCCAGCTTGTTCACCTGCTGATGTGAGTTCAGCTGACACAGGAAGATATGCAAGAGTCTAGAGTTATGAATCCCTACAGGAGGGCAGGACGTCCCATATAAAGACAAATAGTGCCCACAACTGCAGGTACGGGTTTAGCATTGTCATGCCCTGCTGGATCCAGCTGGCCTGAAATAAACGGGGTGCCTGTCTGTATTTCCCAGATGACAGGGGGCCCATGAAGGAATGGAATGTGGAAGGAGCTGAGCACGCTCACCCTCTTGGTAAGCACTGAATGGCCTTGCCCTTCCTTGTAGGCAGGATGGGTAGTCTCTAAGGTCAACAGAGGCCTTGGCAACACTGTCAACACTCACAGCAACAGCCAGGAAGCAGGCCACCACCAAACAGATCCGGGGCCAGAATTCCTTTCCCCTATGGAGGATGTGGCAGCCCCAGGCCCCAGGCCAGGGGCCCCACTTCAAGTCACAGAGAATGTGAGTCTTCCCAGGATACTGACGTTGCCTTGGGGTCCTTCCTTTCCTTCACAGACCAGAAGGGATGAAGTCCCTGGATCCGCGTGTCTGTTCCTGCCCAGAGAAGGAGCTGACCTTGTTCAGGAGGGCGGAAATGCCTCTATAAGAGCGGGGTCCACAGCCCAGGCTGGAGACCCACCTGAATGTGTGTGTGTGTGTGTGTGTGTGTGTGTGTGTGTGTGTGTGTGTGTGTGTGTGTGCCTTCCCAGGTTGTTCCAGGAACTGAGGACTGGTTGCCAAGAGTTTCTGGACACCCAGCCTGGGCTACCAACCTGGAGACAGAGTATCAGACAGATCCAGAGCTGAGTGAGAAGCAGCGGTTGCAGGTGGCTGTGGGGTTCTGGGTTCTGGGTTCTGGTAGGAGCAGAAAGCCCATGAAGCCGCTGGCAGCATCTCTCACCCTGGTTACCCCCAGATTTCCAAGGAGCTGGTTGATCTTCAGATTGCAACCCATCACCTTCGTGAACAACATGAAGCTGAAGTCTTCGAGCTGAAGAAGGAAGTGAGTAGCCACGCAAGCTCTGTGTGTCAGCCTGAGTGCATTCAGGAACAGAGTGCACCCCCAGGACAAGCACCATCAAGGGGTTCAGGTGCCTGGGAGTAAACACACACTTTGTGTCTGTGGGCTTTTACCTGGTCCCTGGTATATGTGCCCCTGCATGTGCCCAGGTGAATGCCTACTTGCTCCGGGTGGTCCAGCAGATATTCCTGCTCACCCTTGACGTCCATAGGTTCTTCGACTGGAAAGCCGGGTGCTAGAGCTAGAGCAGCATGGTGACTGCAAGGGACATAGAGTCCAACCAGCAGCCAGTCCAGGGCACCACCAGGTGCCACCACAAGAGGTCAGTGGAGAAGCCCAGGCTTGAATGTGTCACAGACTCCAGGTTACCATGAGCACTTAAGAGAGCTGGGCTGGGCACCTCCGCAGGGGCAGTGAAACAGGTGTCTGCTGCTCCCTCCCCTCCCCTCCCCTCCCCTCCCCTCCCCTCCCCTCCCCTCCCCTCCCCTCCCCTCCCCTCCCCTCGCTTCCCTTCTAACCATGAAGGTGCAGCCCAAGCAAGACAGACTCTCTGAGCCTGAGAGCATGAGCAAAACGTGAGTACACAGCCACCTAGCATAAAGTCTGCCCGCCTTGTGTATGTGTGGGGCGGGGAGGGTAGGGGGGATTCCGGAGTTTGATGTCCCTTGCACAGCCAGCTTTTGTTCACCCGACAGCCATCGGGAGGACAGCAGAGGCTGCAGGAAGAATTGAAATGGGTCCTGGAGCATCACAGAGTCAGGCAGCAGGCGCTGGAGACACGAGTGTGAGTTTCTCCTCACCTAGAACCGGCAGAGCCCAGTGGCCAGAAAGATCGTCCTTCGGGGGATGAGGGAGTACCTCATCGCGGTCTAGCTGAGCGTGCACCGTGTTCACAGGGCAGTCCTAGGCCAGCAGCTGCAGGGAGCCCGAGAGGAAGCCAGGACAGCTGGTCAGCGCCTGGCTGCCCAAGCCATGGTGAGGGTGTACCCACCCTCTGGGCCTCAAGATGTCGCTGGAGGGAGTCCTGCGAACAGAACAAGAGCCTCTTGTACACTCCCAGGTGCTGTCTACCTGTCAGGGTCAGCTCCGGCAGGCTGAAGCCGAAAATGCTCAGCTGCAGTTGCAGCTGAAGAAGTTGAATGAGGAGTACGCTGTCCGGCTGCAGCACTATGCCAAAGAGACAGTGGTGAGCACTTAGGTTCTGTGGCGGTCGGAAGTGGCCTCTGAGTCTCGAGTGCAAGCCTGGCCTGGATGTGCCGGACAGTTATGGGGAAACTTTGTGGTCCCAGGTCCCTGCACAGCCAGCTGGGGTAGGAGGTGAGGTTAGATCCAATCAAGTGCCACCCGACCCAACTCAAGCCCAGCTCCCCCAGCTTGACTGCCTAACCTAGTCCAAGGCCAGCCCCAACCCTAGCTCTGTCCTACCCAACCTCCTCCAGGAGACTGCCAACAGCACGGGTCGGGCAGCCCTTCAGTCGTTCCTGGAGGCCACTCTGCGGGACATTCGGGCCGCACACCGAAGCCGAGAGCAACAACTGGCCCAGGCTGCCCGGACCTACCGCAAGCGCCTGGCAGATCTGAGCCGGGGGCAGGAGTTGCTGCTAACCACCTGCAGGTGGGCTCCACCCTGACCCAGACACGGGGGTGGGGTGGCCCCCACATGACCTGCATTGTGCCTTAGCATGCTGCAGGAGCAGTCCCAGGCACAAACAGATCCCAACAGGGCACATGGTACTCCCAGGGCTACCTTCACAACAGCCATCGACCTGGAGCCATCACCCATGCACTGGGCCACCGACCTCAGCCACCAAAGGGAGAATGAGGTAATGCTGGGGCCCAGGTGCCCCGTCCCTGCTGCCTGAAACTGCCTTGAAGCCCAGAGGCCCAGCACTCCCCACCCCCACCCCCACCCCAGGGCCTCATCCCAACCTCAGAGCCTTTGAGCAGTTGGCCTTGTTCAGTCGATCAAGGGAACCCACCATGTGCTTTACAGTATGGCAGACGCAGGACACTGCTACAGCACCCCGAGAAAGGACCTGGCGAAACTTCCAAGGACGGCAGGTCACAGCCACTGTGAGTGCCCTCCTGCTGGTGGAGGGGAGGTCTAGGAGTCCTTTGTCCATTCGGCCAAGCCTTGCTGCTGGCTGGGATTCTCCTGTCCCTGCTCTGGGCTGTCTCAGTTTGTATAGGGGACACTGGTAACCACAGAAAAAAATGGATGGCTGCTTTGTTAAGTATCTAATAGGTAACACTTGGGTTCGGTGGGAGCTGACAGTCTGGGTGCATGGCCAGCCCTAGCTTTGGGCCTCTATATCTGCTGCATAGCAGGCAGGCACTGGAGACAGCACCCCCCAAGTTCTGGGGAAGACGACACCTAGTAGAGGGTTCTCCAGGCACAGATGCTCCAGAGCCCCAGGCAGTGCTGTGCTGTCCTAAAAGCACACAGCAGGCCTGGATTATGCCTGCCTGGAGACTGCCCCTCCTGCTCTCCTCCCCTCACAGGGCCCTGGATACTGCATCCTGGGCCCAAATCCAGAAGCAGCTGCAGGACTTCTGCCAGGACACCCAGGTAGTGGGCAAGGAATGGTGGGGGCCCCTCCCTACGCCCCGCCCCGGCTCATGGCTCATGCCGCCACCAGGCAGAGCTGGAACGAGAGCGGGCACAGCTGATGGTCCGGGCCACCATGGCAGAGCAGCAGCTCTCTGAGCTACAGGAGTATGTGGACCAGCACTTGGGCAGGTAGGCCGGGTGTGACCCCAGGGCCCTAATCTAGGTGGAAGGGAAAGAGCCCATGGCCAGAGAGGTGATTTGTCTGATCACCCCAATCAGGTACAAGCAGGAAATCCAGAGACTGAGGAAGTTGGTGAATACAGGAGACCGCCAGGAAGTAGAAGCCATGCCTTCCACTAGGACCCAGCGCCCAAGGTCCCGGAGTCACTAGCTAGCTAGTCTCCCCAAGACTACAAATCAAACCTCTTCACAGCCAGCATGGAACCCGCTGCACACCCCACCCCACAGAGCGATTCCTGGAACAAACAAGAGTCAGGATTGAAGCCTGTATTGAGTCTTTATTGTATCTAGTCGGCCAGCCTGTCAAACACGGGTCCCAGGGATGGAGGTAGAACTGGACTCCGGGATAGCCTTGGTGGACACCCCACAAGAAGACACAGCTGGCCCAGGACCAGGGACATCATAGGCCCAGACTCTGTCCAGGCCCTCACCCACCACAGCTACAGGCTGCCAGGTGGGAAGGGGGAAACGTCCAGATACCACACGGGCCCCTGCAGGTAACTCTCCTTGCAGCTTGTCCTCCAGCAGTGGGAGCTGTAAGGAGAGAACAGGAGCGGGGAGGGCACAGGAGCAGGTAAGGAAAAGCTGCCCCATCCAGCGAGGCCCAGAACCTATTCCTCAGAGCAGCCAAGAGCCAAGAGTGTGGCCCTGACCTCCCAGCAGGACAGCAGACCCAAGACCTACCACACTGGGGGCCAGGAACACAGACACATTGTGACAGTCTCTGAGGCTCACCTGTGGGAAACAAAGATAAAGGCTGGAAGGTCACTGAATTCTGGCCTCCAGCCCACCCAGGTATCAGTGTGGTAGCATTCAGAGCATGAAACTCGGGAGATGAAGGTATCGGGAGCTGGGTTTGATCTTCAGTTCTGCATAAACTTGGTCTGATGGTGCATGCCTGTAATCCTAGCACTCAGGAGGTAGAGGCAGGAGTTCAATGTTATCCTAGGCTATATAGTGAATTTGAGATAGGCCTAACCTAGAGATCTCGTCTCAAAAAAAAAAAAAAAAAAAAGATAAAAATGAAGTTTGATAAGTTACCTTCCAGAGATCCTTTCGATGGTAGCAGACACTCCCGGAACAACCAGCCCTCCAGGCATGCAGCCTTGCAAGTCCCACAAGCCACGGGTTCAGCTCATAACCCACAGCTGGACGGAGACCACATTGGTGGGCCGCCAGCACCTATGAGAGCCAAGAGTGTGGGACCTGGATGTAGGGAAGGGGCCACCACGGGAGGGGCAACGAATAGACACACAGGCCTTACGATCCTGCCGTCACCAGAGCCTAGATCCACCATTTTTCCAGGGCGGCCTCGCAACAGCGACAGTACGTGCTCAACCTGCCGGGCACTCGCGCCAACGTAGGGCACCTGAATAAGGAATTTGGTGGGCTGAGGCTAGAGTTGCACAGACCAAAGCACCAGGTTGGGGGACGTTGCATGCCTACTAGCTTTCCTTCCTTAGATATCTGTCACACCCAGTGCAGCCCCGCCCCCCTCCAGGCACACCACTGCCTGTAACCCGCCCCCTCGACCCCCACCCCCAGTAATTCAATCCTAGCTTCATTTATATACCCTTGGTCATGACGACAGGCTCAGGCCCTGCAACATATTAGTTCCACCTCTCCGTACATCCGGTCCCCTGGTTAGGTCCCGCATCATAATTGGTCCCGCCCACCCTTACGAGCCACCTACAGTAGCCTTGATCCCACCCACTGATGCACGTCTCGCTTCAGTTTTGGTCCCGCGCCTTCTAAGGAAGGCCCCACGTCGCACCTGCAGCCTTAGAGGCACGCGGCGGAAGCCCGGTTGCAGAAGCAGCGCCCACACAGTGTAGGCGGCCAACCCCGAGCCTGCCGCTGCTTGCAATAGCTCCAGCAAGCCCGGCCGCCTCTCGCGCAGTGCAGTCAACGCCTCGGCCGGGTCGTCGTGATCCATGGTTGAGAGATACGCAGTCCGGGGTCGTCCTTCCCAAGGCCTCCGGGCGGGAGCTGGAGGCGGCTGCCCTCCCGGCTACCGCCGGCCTGAGCCGTAAGCTTCTGTCCAGAGCCTACCCCAGCCGTTGCAGCGACCGCATAAGTCTAGATAGAGGCTGCGATCGGACGCCGGAAGTGGAAGGGGCCTGTGCGACCAGTCCGTCACTCATTCTTCTCCCCCTAGCCGGGCGTGGCCCCTTCTGTGGGTTCCGGGTGATGGTATCGAGTCTCAATGACCCAGGAGATAGGCGAGCCTTACAGGGTTTGCCCCTCGTAGGTCCAAGATCTACAGCGGCTAGCCTCTGGGTCCACCCTGCAGACAACTATATGGAATCTTAGCTCTGGATCACCCTGAGGCCATACTGCTCCTGCCCTGCAGTCCTAGGTTAAAACCAGGGCCACTATAATTGGAAGTCATTCTCCTCTTGCGGATTCTGCTGACCTAGACTTCCTGAAATCCTACCAAACACCCAGAAGCAACCCATGGAGGACGTCCTTCCAGTCCCTCCGACAGCGACGACAACTAAGCGGGAAATAGAGCGTGTTCTGGGGTCGAAGGAGAGGGGCGGGCAGATACAGACAGATGTTGGCTCTCTAGTGAGTGTGGAGGGAGGGGGCCGGATGTGAGAGGCTGGGTGCTGGCAGCTGGCCCAGCCTAGGGTGAAAGACAGCTCAGCAGCCCGGAAGCTCTCCTTCCTTCAAAAATAAAGGGTTGAGTGACTCCTAGTAAGGCCCTGCATGTAAACAGATAGAGCCTTGAGTCTATCTGCTGGACCCCAACCACCTACATTAAAGCTAACTGGCCGTGAATATAAAGTCCTCCTTGTCTGTGTCCAGTTCTGACCTGCTCCTCCTCAGCTATCTAGTAGAACCCGTGCTGACTTCCAAATTGAGCATGCCCAAGACCACCACCCTGCCCCCCCCCCCCCCCGGGTGCAGAGTGTTTTCGTCCAAAACAGTCTGAAGGACGGGTGTTCCAAGGCAGCAGAGTATGTGTATTCTGTGGAAAGAGGCTCTGCCCCACCCAGCTCAGAATCGAATCGTCACCAGCAGAACTGAAATGGGGCCCTCCCACACACCGAATTCTAGACAGGGTTGCTTGGGCACAGCTATTCTTATCGGCTGCTCCTAGCAGAATTAATTCTCAGGCCTAGAGCACCCAGGAAGCCCTGGCAACTTTACCTGACTGGCACCCACACAAAGCACTCTGCTCCTCAGTTGCCAGGGCTCTACTTGGAGGTGTCTCTGGTCCACACAGGTTTTCCCAGGCTGGTTCCTGTGATTTTGGTCCACCTGCCCACACGCACACACACCATTGCCCCTGCTGTCTCTGCTTCCACTTTGGGGGCCTCATCACTCGTTCCCTAGTGCAAACATGAGGCCACTGGCCCAATCATCCCCACACCCAGGTGGAAAGGTGCCTGTCTGAGCCCTTAGCACCTCATGGACTTTGGGGAAATGAGAGTAAGTAGCAGGGAGCCAGTCCAGAGGCAGATGGTGGAAGAAAATGGTGTCACCTGCTCTTCAGGAGTGATCTCTTATCCTCATCACCCCTCCCACTCCATAGGCAGGCCGTCTAAGTAAAAGGAGCATGCTCTCTGCCCACCCCTAGCATACACACAGGTGTTATTAAAGCTATCTGCCTGTAAACATTCCAAGGCAGCCATTCCAGGGCCTATGTAGGGTGTGGCACAGGAAGGTACCTTCACTGGCACAGTCGACGCAAGGACCCATGTCTGGTCCCTGCCGAGCCCTGTCCCTCTCCCAGCCTGTTCCTTACCAAAGAATGAATAGTCCACTGGGACTGATGATGGGTGAGAGCCTTAAAGGGAGGGCACGCGAGGACAGAAAGCCATTTCTGGAACTCCACTCCTGCTCCACTCAGCACTGGAGCTGACGGTTTCTCAGAAGCCATGAGGTAGAGGTGGCAGGAATCCGCTTGGCTGGGGCCTGAGAAACCTTGTGCACACCTCACTTAAGGGCTTTCAGGCCATAGGCTTTGTCCAGGGTCTCGCTAGCCCTTTACAAAATAAAGAGGCGGCCCAGGAGGAAGGCAGGGATGGCAACAATGGGGCCAGTGGCGGGAAACAGTCCTCAGAGACCCCATTGTGCACTTCTCCCGCCGGAAACGAACCAGCAGGATCCTGCAGCGGAGACCCCACACCCTGCAGGCTCTTTGCCGTGTCTGGATGCTCAGCACGTCGCAGGGGCCTCCGGACAGAGGGGCCCATTCTTCCCCAAGGGCGGGACCAGGCCAAGGATGACTGTATGGCTCACAAGGGCCACGGAAGGGAATGGCGCACTGCCAGACTACAGCACCCCTCCCTAACAGACCTCGTTCAGAGCTGGAAGTGATGTCTGTCTGCTTGCTCCCCAGGCCACCTAAAGAACCCCAATCAGCCCAAGTCTTGAGAATTGCAGCATTTAAGCTCTCAGCCAAGAGCACCCCGGGTTTAGAGGGAAATGGGCCCACTGGTCAGCTGGGTCAGGAGGGCAGGCAGGCCAGGAAGGGTTAGGAGGGCAGCAGAGGGGCGAGCAGGTAAAGTGAGGCAGGAGCAGAGCTGGGTGTGTCAGAGAAGACCGAGTCTACAGCGGCTGGTGTGATCCAGGTTATTTAGTAGTCTATCACCTCACTGTGGGTACCAGGATGCCATCGGAGCCACACCCTTCCCACCCACCCTCCTACCGCCCCTCCCCCGTACCCCATTCCCAGAGGAAGGTCCAGCAGGGGCTTGCTCCCAGGTCTCTCAGTCCAGTGCCACCTCACACGGGTTGAGGTGGGCTGTAAGGGCAGCGCTATAGATACGGCTGAACTCTTGGAATCGGGGAGCACACCCCAGCCAGGCTTCACCAAATCGGCTCCAGCCCATGAAAAGGAAGGAGCCTGGGCCAGGACGCACACCACAGCGCAACAGGGTACGAATGGAGGCCTGGCCCTGGCCCTCCAAGCCCTCTCCCTGGAACAGTGGCAGTGTCTGGCGGATGAGCCGGGTGGCCACCACGGTGATGACTGATTCTTGTAGCTCCACGTCGTGGGCGACCCCATGGATGGTCCCGTGGATCACTGTGAAGAGACACGGTGGCCAGCGGTGGGCATGCGGGAACGTGGGGCAGGCCCCAAGTTCTCCCACAACAGGAATACTCACCGAAGTCGCTGGTGCACGCAGCCAGAAGGAGCTCAGGCTCAGTGCAGGGTCTGCAGGTACCTAGCATGCAAGGCAGGTCATCAGCCAGGCCCGCACCCTCTCCGCACAAGCCCCCAGCTCCTCCCAGCAGGAAAAGGCCCCAGAGCTGGTGGTTAAACCCTTCTCCCAGCAACCACACAGCCTGAAGACACCAGACCAGACGTCACGGTGCACCCTGCAGGCACATGTCTACTGACGGACACCTCAGCGCCTCATACACATTCCTGCACACCCAGTCTCGTAAACGCATACCAACACCAAGGAACATCCTGTGACCTCTCAGAGCTGCCTCCCAGGCCCAGCTAGGGCGGCAGGACACTCTAGTGGACTCTGGTTCTGGGGTCCCCAGCTAGGGCAGAACGGTCAGAGAGCCATCCCCTGCAGGGTCAGGCTGCAAGTTCCAGAAGAGCAAAGCACTGGGCCCGGTGCCCTGCAGGGAGGCAGGGCAGGCGTCTCCATGGTGATGAAGAGGCACACTGGACTTTTGTTGGCTGGGCTGGGGGAGGGGAGGGAGGTCACCACCAGGCCAGGGAGCCCTGGACAGCTTTGGCCATAGGCTTTGATTCTGCCCCAGCCCACCCCTTCCCCCAACCCTCCAGACACCAGAGGCCCAAGGCTGGCCTCCTCTGTATTTGCTCCCTCCTGCTCTTTCCCGAAAACGAACCAGGAGGAGGAGGAGGAGGAGGAGGAGGAGGAGGAGGAGGAGGAGGGAAAGGAGGAAACAGTCCCAACCCACCTCCCTACGACCTGGAAGCCACCATGCTCTCCAACAGAGTGGTCTCTGTCAAGCTATGGACGGACCCTCTGCGCAGTGGGGTGTCCAGGCCTGGTTAGAGAGTCACTTCCCGACACCAGCCTCTTCAGTCAGTCTAGTCACTCACCATCCACACCAAGACCTTGGGCCTGGGGAGGCATTTCTGCACGCTGGTCCTCGTGCAGCTCAAAACGGAAGGCAGCAACTCGGCGGCTGATGTCGCGGTGCGGTGTGGCCTGCAGGAAAAGGGCCCGGCGCTCGCGGGGACCCCATCGTATGCAGCGGCCCCCAGCCAGGTCTGGGCCCTCGGCCAGTAGCAACTCTAGGTTGCCGCCCATCCGTTCGGCGAAGACCTGGGCACCAGCGAAGGGCCGCGCTGGGCGCAAACAGACGATGCTGGGCCGCGTGCCCGGATCGGGGTTGCCCAGGGTCAGGCGCAGCGCTCCGGCTGGGTACAGCCACTCGATTGCGCCCTCAGTACAATCCAGGGTCAGCTGCCCCACGCTGCCGGGCTCCTGGGTCAAGCCGCTGGGGACAGGACGGTGGTTCTCAGGCGGGGTGGCCCTTGTTCCCCTAGCCGGCTCACCCCCTTTCCCGCATCTACCAACACCTGCGTCCACTCTGTGGCACAGGTCATTGAGGTCTGGGCTTCCTCAGTTCCCAGTGGGAGGGAGGCACCTAACACAAGAAGAAAAACCCCTCCCCATAGTCCCTCCTGGGGACCGTACCTGCCCCTCCAGCTGCAGCGGTCCTCGGAGTAGCCGGCACGAGCAGACGCGGCCAAGAGGCCGCAGCACAGCGCGCAGAGAAGCGCGGCGACGGGCATGGCTCGGGGACGCGCCGGGGCCTCGGGCTGCTGCCCCGGGAGGGTCGGGGCTGCAGCGCGAGCAGCCCGCGGCGCGGCCGCCCGGCCCGGCGCGTCCCCACAACCGGCGACCCCTCGGCGCAGCCCCCTCTGAGCTCCCGGACCGTGGGGGCGGGGCCTTTACTCTCGGACCAATCGCCACAAGCCCCAGAACTTTCCGCCAATCGCAGAGCCCTCTTGGGGGCGGGGCGGGCTGAAGGCGGGAGCGCGGTCCAGGGCAGGTTCGGAGTGTGTAGCGTTCCTGTCTCCCCATTTGGCGATTCCCCAGTATCCTAGAACGTTGGGTGTGTGGGTGGGTGGGGGTCGCTGTCGACTGGAATCTGGAGGGCAGCTCACTTCACTTGCCCTTCAGTGGACCTCAGTAGGCAGTCGGCAGCCATCATCTGAATACTGGTACCCTGCTGCTGGTAACCCAGGGAAGAGAGATTAGAACCTCTGTGTCCCTGCGTCCCATAACAGAGGGTACAGAAGGTTTTCATTAGCCTAGGGCTTGGGTCATGGAGCTAAGCCAAGCCTTGGGTTTGGGGAAGAGGAAGAACACTGGCTAGCTCTGGAAGGAGCTGTGTGGCCAGGGTGCGCCTCCTTCTGCACCATACTTTTTCAGACCCACCTGCACATTAAATGAATACCATGAAAAACGAGGCACTGTGGAGACCTGCCTGGGCATCCACAGACGAGAAACAAAGCCTGGAAGTACTTGCCGGTGCCACAGTACAGGCCCTGCAAAATCAAGATCAACTGGAACAGAATCTCAAAGATACCCCAGGAGGCCTGGGGATGGGCTAGGTTATACTGTGCCTCCCACTCAGGCATCAAGCCCTGGGTTTGATCTTCTAGCTAATGTTAAACTGATTGTAGTTTATCGTGCCTGTGATCCCAGCAGTCAGGAAGCAGAGGAAGGAGAGCAGATGTTCAAGGTCATCTTTGGCTACACAGTGAGTTCAAGGCCAGTCTGGTCTACATGAGACCCTCTTAAAAGAAAACACACACACACACACACACACACACACACACACACACACACACAAAGCAAAACATGCTAGAGTCAATTTGAAACCTCCCAAAAGGAGAAGAGCTTCTTCGGGCCTGAAGGAAGGTTAGAGGAGACTGAAGTCAGAACGAAGTCTTGGGAAGTCCCTGAGCATCTCTTCTCCAAACCTAGGACTCTACCTCCGTATCCACTGTCCTCCCAATTCCTTTTGAAACCCTCCAGTTGTCCTGGACCTGGACTCAGGGACAGATGAGAGCCAGTGATCTCATTGGTGGGAGCAGATGGTTCTACTACCAGCCTGTGGAAGAGCTTGGAAACAGTGATTCCCCTGTCCTTGACTCCAAGGCCCTCTCAGACCAATAGGAGGCACAGCTGGCTCCTTGCCACAGACAAGGGGGTCAAAACAAGGAATTATAACAGTCAAAGGTGAAAGTGAGCGGAGCCTTCCTGATGGGTGGTGTGTCTGTACTGTAAGAAACACACAGTGTGAATCTTTTCTGTCAAATACTATAAAAGTGTGGTCATGGCAAGGAATTCAGATCTTTTTATCTCCCCATCTTGTAAGACTTTTATGCAAATAGGCTTCTCTGTGTAACAGCCTAGTTGTCCTGAACTCACTTTGTAGACCAGGCTGGCCTCGAACTCACAGAGATCCACCTGGCTCTGCCTCCTGAGTGCTGGGATTAAAGGCGTGCAGCACCACTGCCCGGCCTTGGATTTATTTCTAACAGGGTGAAGCCCAGATGATTCCATCTTAAGCCCTGAAGTTAGTATGAAAGTGCAGGCGTTGGTGCTGGCTCTGTTAGTCTTGGTCTTTGCTTTGTTCCTGCCATGTCCTCTCTTTGGGAATGGGATAGTTCGTTCTGTGCTGTTGTACATTGGAAGTACGTAACTGATTTTTTTATTCTATTGGAGTTCACAGTTAAGAGTTTGCCTTAAGTCTGGCAGTGGTGGCACACACCTTTAATCCCAGCACTCAGGAGGCAGAGATAGGAGGATCTCTGAGTTTGAGGCCAGCCTAGTCTACATAGTGAGTTCCATGACAGCCAGGGCTATGTAGAGAAACCCTGTCTCAAACCAACAAACAAAATAAGTAATAAGTAGCCAGGTATGGTGGCGCATGCCTTTAATCCTAGCACTCAGGAGGCAGAGGTGGAAGGATCTCTGAGTTTGAGGCCAGCCTAGTCTACATAGTGAGTTCCAGAACAGGCTCCAAAGCTACAAGAGAAACCCTGTCTCAAAAAACCAACCAACCAACCAAATAAATAAATAAAATGGGCTGGAGAGATGGCTCAGCAGTTAAGAACATGTTACTTCGCTTGCAGAGGACCTGAGCTGTGTTCCCAGCACCCACAAGAGGATTACAATAGCATGTAACTCCAGCGTCAGGGGATTAGATGACTCTTGTCTCCACAGGCACATGCACTCACATGCGTGCACACATGGGCGTGCGCACACACATACAAGTAAAAAATGAAATATAAATCAGAATAAAATTATTTCAATTAAAAGACATCACGCAGCCTGAGGAAAGCATAGCAGATGCCAAGGCATTTACAGAAGGACACAGGACACCTGGGTCCACCACGGATGTCCAGGGGTCCACCACGGATGTCCAGGGGTCCACCATGGATGTCAGGGGTCCACCATGGATGTCCAGGGGTCCACCACGGATGTCCAGGGGTCCACCACGGATGTCCAGGGGTCCACCACGGATGTCCAGGGGTCCACCACCGATGTCCAGGGGTCCACCACCGATGTCCAGGGGTCCACCACGGTTACATTCATTGGCTCATTCCTAAGAGGTTACATTCATTGGCTCATTCATTGGCAGTCTCCTCAGCCCAGGCCTCTGAGGCAGACAGTAGTCTGCAGGCGCCCTCTAATGGTGATGTGGGGCATGAGCTGGCCAGTTTCAGGGAGTTGGCTCTCCACCATGGCTTCCTCCAAGAGAAATGGCTATAGTCCTAGCAGTAAGAGGGACTCCAAGGGGTAACCTGGTCTGGAAGAAGCTGTCATCTGACCTGAATCTTTATATGAGATTTGTCCTTCCCCATCTTCATCTTTAAACAACATAACAATGATTCTATCACCATGGGAGAAGAGCAGGACAGATGCCACTTCTCACAACTGTCAGGGAAAGGGACATTTGAACACCATTAGCTTACAGAACTCGGATACCCATGGGCATAGATCCCAGAAAGCCATGACTGGCCTCAGGATCCATCATACCTGGTATCGGTGCTTATAGATAGATACCCAGAGGAAAACGAGCAAATGGATAAATGAGGACATCCCACATCTCAGATAACTCTTAGCTATTTATGCTCAGCTTGGGGGTTTCCTTGAGTGTCTCAAAATTTAGTGCCCTTACCTTAAGAAGTGAGTCACTAGGGGTTGGGGATTTAGCTCAGTGGTAGAGCGCTAGCCTAGCAAGCGCAATGCCCTGGGTTCAATCCTCAGCTCCAGAAGAAAGAAAGAAAGAAAGAAAGAAAGAAAGAAAGAAAGAAAGAAAGAAAGAAAGAAAGAAAGAAA